CCTGGCCTAGGGAGGATTTTTAAACTGGGTTTTTTAGAAATTTTAATTATCACAACATAAAAATTTTGGTTTTAATTTGGTTTTATTCGGTGGGGTGTGTGGGTCTTTCTTTGTTTTAATAATGTTGTGAGCCGCCCTGAGTCCTTCGGGAGAAGGGCGGGATATAAATTGAAATAATAAATAAATAAATAATAAATAAGGAGTCCAATGTGACGTTTTCCAGAACCCCCAAAACGTGAATAAAATGGGGGAACATGAACCAGAAAAATTGCTCCCTCTGACAGTCACATTACAATGCATTTTCTCTGATTCTAAAACTTAACTGTCGAGTAATTTTGTTGATCTATTCTATACCATTTCAGACAAATGGTTGTCCAATCTCTTCTTGAAAGTCTTCAGGGATGGAGCACCCACAACTTCTGGAGGCAAGCGGTTCCACCGGTTGATTGCTGTCAGCGTTAGGAAAAATTCTACTCAGTTCTAGGTTGCTTCTCTCCTTCTTAACTACAAAAGCAGGTGTGATGTACAAAGGGATAGTGTATGTCTTAGACATACTATACTGTTGGACATCTTCCATCTGGGTGATCAGCACAGATGTGTTGTGGCTTTGCAGCAGAATCTTGGGATTAACCAAGATGTAGAATCTGGGTCAATTTTGCAGAACATAGATGTTCCAGAGTGAACCAGTCAGAATTTAGCCTTGAGCATTGATTGGCCAAAAGTTCACTTGGAAAGAACCTCTGTTTTATCTATCCCAGAACATCCATCCTGGAAGTTACATAGGTGAAATAAGTAAAAAAAGGAGAAGTTCACATTCCCACAAAATGGGAACCCACCATTTTTGGGTTACAAAAAACTTGAATCAGGTAAGGAAAAGGACCCAACAGGATGTTAGGTATTCTATCATTTTGAAATTGGTTATCCCAAAAGGGCTTTTTTCACAAGGCAACTGGAATAGACTAGACTAGACTAGACTAGACTAGGACCTTGGAGGTCTTCTAGTCCAGCCCCCTGCTCAAGCAGGAGAACCTACACCTTCTCTGAATTCTTTCCAGTCTCTCAACATCTTTTTTGTGATATGGTGACCAAAATTGGCTGCAGTATTCGAGGTGTGGTCTTACTAAGGCTTTATAAAGTGGTACTAGTACTTCGCGTGATCTTGAGTCTATGCCTCTGTTTATACAACTCAGGATTGTATTAGCTTTTTTGGTTGCTGCTGCACACCGCTGGCTCATATTTAAGTGATCGTCCACCAGGACTCCAAGGTCCCTCTTGCAGTCACTGTTTTTGAGCCAGGTCTCGCCCAATCTGTATTTGTGCCTTTAGTTTTTCCTGCCTAAATGTAAGACTTTGCTTTTGAAACTCATTTTGTTGGATAGGGCCCATTGTTCAAGTTTGTCAAGATCTTTTTGGATCCTGTGTTTGTCTTCCGGGGTGTTGGCTACTCCTGCCAATTTGGTGTCATGTGCGAATTTGATGAGTTCTCCTTCAATTCCCTCATCTAAGTCATTTATGAAGATATTGAAGAGGCCTGGGCCTAAGACGGATCCTTGTGGTACCCCACTGCTTACTCCTCTCCATGTGGATGTAGTGCCATTGAGGACTACTTGTTGAGTACAGTTTGTCAACCATCTACAGATCCACTTGGTGGTGATGTTGTCTATTCCACCTTTTCTTAGCTTACCGAGGAGTAGGTTGTGATCTACTTTTATCAAATGCCTTACTGAAATCTAGGTATACTACGTCCACTGCGTTTCGTTGGTCTACTAGTTTAGTTACTTTATCGTAGAATGAGATGAGATTGGTTTGGCATGATCTGTTTTGAACAAACCCGTGCTGGCTGCTAGTTATGACTTGGTTTGCTTCTAGTTGTTTGCAGATCTGTTTTTTGGTTATTTTTTTCTAGGATCTTCCCAGATATTGATGTTAAACTGATTGGTCTGTAGTTTCCTGGGTCCTTTCCCCACATCTTCTTGAAGATGGGGACCACATCAGCCCTTTTCCAATCCTACCCCGGTGCTCCAGGATTTATGGAGGATGTGGTGCAACGGTTCTGAGATAACCTCTGCCAGCTCCTTCAGAACCCTGGGATGTAATCTGTCGGGTCCTGGTGATTTGTATTCATCAAGATTGGATAGGTGTTCTCTTACCATTTTCTTGCTTATTTTGATTTTTGTTTCTAGCATGTCTTTTGCTGTGTTTTTTTGGAGGTGTGTTGGGCTATGGTTTCTTTCTGTGTGAAGACTGACGCAAAGTATGAGTTAAGCAGCTCTGCTTTCTCCATGTGGCCTGTAATTTCCTTACTACCTTCTCTCTTTAGTGGGCCTACATCTCCTTTGTTTCTCTTTGAAGACGTTTTGCTTCTCACCCAAGAAGCTTCTTCAGCTCTGACTGGATGGTGGGAGAAGGGAAGGATTCAGGGAGAGCTGAAGAAGTTCCTTTGTTGGATGAGAAGCAAAACGTCTTCAAAGAAAAAATGAAGTCCAGTTGCCTCCTGAAAAAAAAACACCTTTAGGACAACCATGACCTGGATGACGAAGAAGCTCCACAACACATTTGGCTGTAGTATTATTATTTATCCTTTTTATTATCTTCTTTACTTCTCTCTTTTATTGGTCTTCTTCTTCTTCTTCTTCTTCTTCTTCTTCTTCTTCTTCTTCTTCTTCTTCTTCTTCTTCTTCTTCTTCTTCTTCTTCTTCTTCTTCTTCTTCTTCTTCTTCTTCTTCTTCTTCCTCCTCCTCCTCCTCCTCCTCCTCCTCCTCCTCCTCTGTTGTTTTGCAAGTAAGTGGAAGCAAGCTGCTGTAACCGGAGACAAATTCATGGTGTGTCTAATCGCACTTGGACAAATAAAAGATTCAATTCAATCCAGTCCACCACCCTTGCCCACGTCCTTCTCAACTAGGCTGGCCGAATCTAGCCAGAAGGACGGAATCCCAAGATGTTTGGATCCCAAGAGTGGGTGGGCTTCAAGAACCTTTTTACCCCCAAAGTCCTTGCTTTTGCTTTGCTTTGCTGGCAGCTCATCTTGCTTTGTGGATTTACAAGCCTGCTGTCTTTCATGACTTGGTTCCTTCTTATCTATCTCTCTATCTCTTATCTAAAAGGGATCTTCTAGACTCGATTCCTGGCTTTCATCCATCTTGCTTATGTGCCTGCTTCATCTTTGGGAATGGCGGCCTCAGAAGGGGCTACCACCATTGGGTTGGTGCTTCCCCATTTATGAGCTACCTTGGTTTCCATTGTGAGAGATGGAACTGAAGGCACAACGATTGAAGATGGGGGTGGATCTCATAGCAAAATATTCAGCCAAAATGAATGGCTAATAAAATAGATCGAATCCTGCTTGAGCAGGGGGCTGGACTAGAAGACCTCCAAGGTCCCTTCCAGATTATATTCAACTTCTATTCTATTCTATTCAACTTCTATTCTATTCTATTCTATTCTCCATTCCATGTTCTATTCTATTCTTTCTATTCCTTTATTTTATTCTATTCTGTATTCTATTCTCTATTCCATTCCATGTTCTATTCTTTCTATTCTATTCCTTTTTTCTATTCGATTCTATTCCTTTTCTCTATTCCTATTCTACTATTTCTATTCTATTCTATTCCTTTTCTCTATTCTATTCTATTCTATTCTATTTTCTATTCATTCTCTTATTCTAGTCTACTCTAATTCTATTCTATTGGCAGTAGGTTGTAGTAACTATCTTCAATTGGTGGTAGGGTTGTAGCAACACTATCTTTTCTATTGGTGGTAGGTGGTAGTAACTCTATCCTCTATTGG